AATCGTGCGTGACATCTTTCCAAAACTTTTGCCGCTCAGCAATTCGTGCCCAATGCAACTCTATTGCATTGCATGCTACATGTCAAGTCCTCAAGTCATAAATTTTGCCCATTCGTAGGATCAGCGAAAAACGTCAAGTTCTGTACATCACTACATGTCGCTCTTAGGAAATACCCTACCCCTGCAAAACACTATGTGTCATTGTTACTGATTCTGTAGATTGCATCGAGTTCGAATAATTCGGTTCCGCATAGACAAACCATAGTAGAGGTCATTGGAACCAGAATTTCGTCGTCTTTGGCTAACTGCCAACAAAAATTTTGAGGAGAACGAAAACCGGGATGGTTATGATGCAAGCCGATATCCCAACGTTTTTTTATGTTCTGCCGCCATAGTCTGCCTTCCACGCGCTTACAAGCTCTCACTGCCACATTATTCTATAAATAAAAGTTAGAAAAATCAGGGTAATGCTGCGATAAGTGAACACTCATTGTAACTCACACTACCATCTGTAGATGTGATGAGTTTTTTGTAGTACAATTTACAGCTTTATTACCAATTGGGAATCTAGGTGAGTGAGTCTTCCACGTGGTGGATAAATAATGCATGCTTCCGGTGCTAGTCGAACACTCCGTTCAGCATGTTCGAGAAAATCAAGATTGAGTATGCAATCAAGTGCAGTAGTCGTACAATCAAATGTCAAAAAATTATGGATGACCGAGTTGACCCACCTCGTCTACCACCATCAACGTGCATGAAAAGCTGAGAGTTCTTCTCCAGTCAGCATTGTAAAAGCAGATGATGGTTCGTGAGCTATCGAAAAGCGTTGTGATGTGTTGGCACGTACCATGGTGACGTATCCGCTAGTCGAGACTTCCTAAATTCTCGAGTTTACATCATTTTATAATCGCTCGAAGGATATCTGTCTACTCCACAGAATGGCACGTTTGTCTCTACAGAGTATTTCAGTTTTCCTCCAAAAACCGGGAGGTACTTAGGCGCCGACCCAAATGCAAAATTTAGTCGCCACGGGGGATCGAACCCTTAACAGTACCTTATGCTTCTTTTTTGGTACTGCTATAACCGTTCAGCGAAAATGAAACATGGTTTTGCGTTCCCTACATGCGTCCCTACAATATGCACAAAACCGTTTTGAAAAAGCGCACCTTGCCCTGACCCTTGTCAGAGATAGCCATTGTTCAGACAAAATTTGGAGGCATCAAGACTAGACGGCTGACCCCCTGAAGAGACTGTGCCCTTATCCAACTATATTTGGTCCTTCCAACAGCTGTCCTAATGGTAGACTGGGTTGTCCAATTTCTCTTCGAATCTCCTTCGGAAGCATCAGACCACTCTCATTGTTTACGCACGAAAAACAAAAATACAACTTCGGCTGAGAATACTGCAACGGACGTGATGGACTACGTACACAGCTCGTATCATGAAACCAGTTGGCGCCGCACGCATTGCGCGCGCATCACAGATCTGTAGAGCGAATTTTGGACCAAAGCATGCAAAATATAGGCTTACAAATACATCCGACAAGTAATCTGAAACAAATATCATCAGCCTAAATATATAACTGCTCCATCAATCGAACAGCTTAACACCTCTTATATTCTTCGATCAAACATATATTCCCTATAACTTACACAAGTACTCCGGACATGACTACCGACAAAAAAGTCTCGTGGCAAAACTCCGCATACATATCGGTAATGTGCTCCGACCCCACAAAATCAGCATTTGAGCACCTTCTCTTGCCTACCTTCCCCCTTTTTCCACGCGTCTCTCGGAAACTCTTAGAAAAGACAAAGACTGAATCGGGTCTTTTCGCTCGACAACCTCTTCAACCCCCACTCTTTCCCTAATCCATTCTAAGAGCTACACTGACGAAACCGAGTTCTGAATTTTTCGTCGCAAACTCCGCCCACTTTGGTCAAGCTCCGCCCACCGGTGATAGCTGGCCTTCCACTCCTCCACCCACCTCCATCCACCTTTTTCCCTGCCTCCGGGACTTCTTGGAGCCGAATTACAATTTCGGCGCAAACTCCGCCCACATTAGCGCACGCTCCACCCAACCGTAGCAGTTAACTTCTCTTTCTTTGCTGACCTATATCCACTTTTTTCCCGTTCTCCAGGACTTCTTGGAACCAAGTTATGAATTTTCCTGGGTAACTCCGCCCACCTAGGACTTGCTCCGCCCACCAATAATATTCTAGCTCTACTACTTCAACCACCCCCATGCACCTTTTTCCCGGTCTCCCGGGCTTCTTGGAATCGAGTTATGAATTTTCCGTGATAACTCCGCCCACTTTGAACATGCTCCGCCCACTAATGGTATTTAGCTCCACTCCTCCACCCACCTCTACCCACCTTTTCCGTGCCTCCGGGAACTTCTTGGAGCCAAGCTATGAATTTTCCGTCGCAAACTCCGCCCACTTTGGTCAAGCCCCGCCCACCGATGACAGCTGGGCTCCACTCCTCTACCCACTTCAATCCACCTTTTCCCGGCTCTTCAAGACTTCCCCGGCCCGAATTATGAGGACTTGTAGAAAGTGCTGTACACTTCAGAGCGCGCACGCCCATTTCTGGGCGGCCTCCGCCCACGTCATGTATGCAGGAAACACCTTAGACATTGCTCCCTTACACCAAATTGTTTTCTGCTCTGTAGGCTTTCTCCCAACCGAGTTATGAAATTTTTCATAAAGCACTGCTTTTTTAGAGAACGCCCCGCCCACCGGGGGTGGGTCTCCCTAATTCGATGTGACTTACCAATGCACACCTTAGCCCACTTTTTGGCCCAGTTTCGAGGTCGTTTTGTCACTGAAATCGAAATCTTGGTCTTCGGTACAGTTCATTTCGACGCACGCTGTGTTTTGTATTTCGTGAGACCTTGCCCACCCATTCCACACTTGACCCGGTCCCTCCAGGCGGATCCCGAGGAGCTAGGGAATTTCGTGACAGACACACAGACAGACGACAGACGACAGACGACAGACGACAGACGAGCGCTTTATAGTTAGTAGGATCGCAGGAATAGTTGAATTAATAATCAGCTTCCGTCTTTCGTCGCACATATGGAGTTAAATATCATCGACGAAATGGTACGTACGCAAGCATGGATATCCCTCCCAATCTATTGAAAGCGAACCCCGGGATCAGCCCCACTTGTAGGAAGGACACAGCGCGGAAATCGTAAGGTCCCTACCTTCCTGAATCACTTCAGCTTTGTCGCAAAAATGGGCGCTAACCTTACGGGCCTGCAACCATCGACCCCCTTTGCGGCGGTTTCCGCCACCTCGATATCGGCATGCTCTCTCGTAAGGCGTTATCTCTCGCGTGCTTTGTCTTCCTTGACCGCCCTGGCATCAATTGCCACACCTCCACAACTTTTTGAGATATAAAGCTTGAGTTCATTGCATCAAGATTTCTACCTGATTTCTTTTCACTTCAAGGCCGTCTACAGCTCTGAAGTCACTACATGAAGCTTCAAATCACCATTTTTAGCCGGGGGCTTGCTTTGATCCGAGCCAACGCCATTTGTTGTCAGTCGTAAATCACTTGGCTGTGGTGGAAGACAAGCCGGAGCGTTTTGCTACTTCTGTTTTATGCCTGTGAATAAATAACTATCAACAAATTCGCCCAATAGATGAGAACTATTGCACAATTTCCACGCATCCCTATCTTCAAATGCGTCCGGCGTTGCCCCCCCCCCAACAACAAAAAAATACTTTGGAGGGCAATTCCTCCCGGAGAGAAAACGGTGCTCACATGAAATGTTGATACTTTCGTCATAAGGACCAAGCTTGGTGATGAAGCTCTTTTAAGTTCGACTCCTCTCTTAAACGTCACCACCTCCTCGTTACCTCTTACCTCTTGCCTTTTCGCTCCTCGTCCCTCCTTTCTTACGTGTTTCTCTTGTTTCCCTGCCCACCACTTTTATTTCTCAAAGTGGCTAATCCACCAAGCCATGCTATGGGGAGGGGTACCCTACGAAAAAAGTGAATCTTCCTACTAAGAAAATTTCGAATAATCACTAATAATAGCTAATAATAACAACTTAAATACTCGATTTACATCGCTTTTGAGGGCAAGGCCTTATGCGATGATACATTCAGCAGACCCTCCTCAGTTAGAGGATTGCAAGCCTTTTCCTTCAACTTTTCCGCAAAACAAGCCTACGTTTTCCTCAGTCATTTATTTTGTGGTTTTATGAGTTCTATTTACTTAAATTCCTCATTCTGTAAACTGACCGGCATGATTTTCGCTACTCAGAGGTATCATTATCGATAAGGTGTACTTGACACTAAATAAGAATTATTCAGTTAAGAATGGGTGCGGCAAGGAAGGGAGGGAGCCGGAGGGATGTCGGAGCGAGAAGAGAAAGGTGTCGTGTCTGAGGGAATCCGCCTTATTGCAATACAGTTTTGAAGAACGACCCCCATATCTTCGAGATATGAGACTATTTTTGCTTCCCGTCCCCTCTCCCAGCCCCCGCCCTCTGTCGCGGAGTCCTTCGACCTACGCGCAATCAGGGACATGGAAGGTAGGATGAAGCTGTAGAAAGACTGCAAAACAATCTTTTACCATTATGTCTGTCGTGAGAACGGCGCAAGGGGGAGGGTTCGTCTGATGGCATCTCCAGTAGGGTCGTGGTAAATGCGATTTCTGCTCAGCGCCACGCGACCATGGTCAGGAAGCTGCCCCTCTACGCTGAGCACGATTCGAGGAAAAAGCTCAAAAACTTCTTGGACTCCTTATAATTTGTCCTCCTTGAACTCGACAGAAATTGCTTCTATTTCCTTGCTATTGCACCATTTTCCTGGTAGATTTTGCGTTTGTGGCTCTAAGGAATTCGATAACAAATATTCTCGCATTCTCACAGGGTCGTCAGATATTTATTGGCAGTACACACAATACTAGCCTGGCTATAATTTGTTTAACTGCTTAAATTTGAAGTATCCTGACAATCTGATGTATTTCCAGTGGTTTCCAGTTTATGTGTGTGGAAGTCCGAGGACAGCCAGTTGCTTCTGAGCTTCGTCGTTGAACCTTGTGCCGAGAGTCTCAATGGCAGTCTTCTGATCAGCAGTGAGTGCTTTTCGCCCGTCCAGGAATTTCTCGAAGATTCCCCAGAATTCCTGAATATCCGATTGAACTCATTACGACCGGATCAGACTGCACAGCTCAATCGATGGCACGTACCTTCCACAGCTTGGGGTCAAGTCCTCGTTCCTTATGTCGGTTCATGAGATCGCGAACGAACGCGCGGAAGATCATCTCCTAAAAGCAGTTGGATCAAGCTTTCTCCCCAAAGCAGTGAGTGGAAAATTGAAATCTCACATTGTCGTAGGTGTCGGCGAGAATGTACACGGATGTGAGCAGAGCATTGCCCTGAGTCGCGAATCTGAAATATCAATATAAATCTAAGACATCGTGATGACGCTCGCAAAATAGCAAGCCCACCTAATCGTTTTTCGTGGAAAATCAATTCAGTGAAGCTCGGCACCTTTTAAAACTCTTGCGAAATAGTTCGATCCGATGACTGGTGAAGAGGCTAAATATCAACAACGAGCTTCTGAAGAGGGTTCTGTACGCATAAAGAGTTTTGTTCAATACTTACAACTTGTAGAAGTCCTTGCCGTTCTGAACCTTCTCAGGGGTGGTACCGAGAGGGGCACTTTCCAAGGCAGCAAGGAAGTTCTTCCTTACATCTTCCGAATCCTGAAGCCACATCGGTAATAGCATCAACAACTAATACGAGCTCTCAGCATTTGGGAATGGCTCTTGGAAGAAACGGCTTCTGGGAGGCACTGGCAAATTAAGTCTTCTGACGTTCTCACCTCCCCTAGCTTGGTAGATAGTGTCTCGTAGTTTGAGTGCCCTGTTTGATGTGCTATCAAGCATGAGCCCGCTAATTCTCATCCAAGATTCTTGAAGTTGCATATTCACAGTCACTTTGAACGACATTTTTCATTTTCTGCAGCTTTGAAAGATTTTACAGTCCGTTTTCCAATTTAGCCTCACATACTGAAATGAGGTCAATAGTTAGCAAAAGGCAAGAGAATACCTATGCATTCATATCTTGAGATAGCGTATGTCTTCTCGAAATTCATTGATTGCGCACGGTGTTAAAAGATACAACTCACTGTGCGACCCCCGTTTTTGGAAAAAAAAAAATCGACGAACCAGACAAGAGCATGGAATGAGAAACCGCATTCACTAAAATCTCAAATATCAGCTCTTCCGGCCGAACTTGAATAGATCGACTTATGAAAGACTTAGTTCGCCAGGTTTTAAGGCGCGACATCTTCAGCATTCAGGAAGGAAAGAGCTGAAGTTATTACGAAGCTCGAGAAAGAGAGTAGGAGGTTGGTCAGAGCAGCCTGCGTGATAAAGGAATACCAATTAAGTCGTAGATCATTTGGATCGCGGTATATAGTGGGTACTATGATGTAAAGGACAAGGGCTTTGACTGTTGCTGAGACGTAAAGTGGTATGGCCGAATGGAATACGAATGTAGTCATCCACAGGGCCATCCTAAAGCAAGAAGCGCGAGCCCGTTAAACTAACATCATGGTTATCTGCGTCATATGAACTGAGGGTCCTATTGCTCGCAGTGAGTCTGCCTACAGAACAATCATTCTCAGATCTGCATGAAGCCAGAATACCTCCATTCTAATAATCGGCCTGTTGATTACGGTAATAGCGGTACTGGATAAAAGGATAGTTTACAGCCGAATGGAATACTGAATACAGTAAGCTCCCACGCCCAACGAACACTGATTGCAAAAAGAGCCCACATCGTAAGGACTGAGAGCCTGCACACTGTAAGCCGGTACCAAACGGAGGCTGAAGGTTCTGCGTGATTAGCAGTGATGGTCTGGGAACTCGGACAACATCTCCGATCTGCGGAAGTCAAGGGATACCTTTAGGAACGGGTGTCCAAGTGAATTGCACAAACTGGAGGATAAGTAAATGACGGCTTCAAAAGAATCATGACAATGGGACTCTGAATAGGCACCGGAATCAGAGCTCTTGAGTAACGCGCCATGGTAAGGGAGAGAGTGGATGTGATATCAGCAAAGAAATCGTTGGACTGGTAGTGGAAGATCGACCGAGCAGCAAGCAATATGCGATGTGCCTGACCTCATGTATGCTATACGAAGTTATTACGCTAAGTGGGAGGGTCGAAATGTTGTCGATTACCGTAATCCCATGCAAAGCTCACGTCTGCTCCGATGAGAAATCGGCTGCCCTTTGCAGAAGGGAACAAAGTCCGTGGATAAACGTGCTTCTATTCATTGCATGATGGCCTGTGATTTTTTCATTGTTCCAAATATATAGCCCTCATGAAGGTGACCGTTCAATGGATCGTGTTTTCGATGATAAAGATATCTTCAGATCGACTTTTGATCAACAACATAAGATAACAGTTGCTCCTTAGGTGTTACTCTATAAAATATAGAACAAATGACGCTGTACAAAATGCCCTGACGAGATCAAAGAAGTACCTGGGGATAACAAAGAGATTGGTCGGTGATTGTTATCCTGAAGTTCAGCGCCCTTAAAGTTGTCGTGAATAGAGGATTTGAACGAAACAAACCCTAAAAGTGGCTATTTCGCCAGGGGAAAAACCTTAGTGAAATTACGGTACTCGCCATAAAACCTCAAAAATGCATGCAAAAAACGTTGTTTCGCGTTTTTTTTCGTTATTTCGTTATAAATCAGTTCAGTACTGAGCAGGATGAAAATCGTGTCGCAGAAATCCGAATCCCTTCAGGTCGAGCGCTTGGCACGACCCCCCCCCCGAAACAGAGCATACGCAAAATCACACAGCAAAATCAACAGCCGAGTGTATCGATCAACGGCCGATTCAACGGCAGCTGCGGCGCGATTGTCCCTGGGTCAGATTTGCTGAAATCCCGAAAAAAAAACCGTCGAAATCTACACCCTCGATGAAAAGGTTCCATTCCTCCATTTCCCAACCTTTTGAACAGCACGCGGTAGGGTTAGATAGAGCTAGATTTGCTACTATCAGGCAGTATTGGAATTGCTATGAAAGCCTTCCATTCGAAGAGATATAGTCTCTCAAAATCCGTCGAGGGAGCGTCGAGGATGCTGAAATTTTCATGCGAGTTTTTGCCACTTAAAAGGCAATATCTCTCTAATTTCGCAAGATCTTGAAAAAAGAAGACAGTTTTGGAAAGCGGAAGGTTTGCGCTTTCTAACAGTATGTTTAGCTTCCTTCTACATTCTCTAGTTGAGGAGATATTTGCGTCGAGGATCTATCGAGGATGATTCTCGGCCGCTCAAAAAGCCGCTCCCTTCTTCACCATTGCAAGTGTAATTCGTTGGCAACGCTCGAAATGTGTCTAGAATACATTCTCCCAACATAAGCAATAGGAAAAGGGGCAATCGTCATCATCCGATTTTGTCTGGGTATAGGCCATGCATCCGACCTCACTCGAAGTTGCAGAATCGATTGAAAGGTGTTATATGATCATGACCAGTTGACAGAAGCTGCATTGTAGTAAACACATTTCGTAACTCCTACAACCTGAAGAACAGCTTCATTTGCCCAGGGCTTTCCTTCACGGTTGTCGTTTTTGCGACAGGGTCCCTAACAACAGTGTCATTCTCAGCGAGGTATTAAGGGAGAAGGAGCGAGCGATAGGCGGAGGAGGTGCCTTTGCAGCGCGTGCGCACATGTGGCAGTTCCTTGCGGAGATGCACTTTCATTCTTTGTACTGCTTTCAAATACGCCCTTCTCATAAAGGTAGAGGAATGGAGCGACTGAACCTGCAAAGAATATTTTATATCATGTTTTTTCACATATCCTTGTTTTCTGCTGCGCTACACCCTCTTACTCCTATCTGCACCACGATGCCACTGATGTTACTGACCCCCAAGAGTACGACCCCCATGACCCAGCCTGACAGGTACGACCCCCCTGTCGAGGATTTCCTCGACCGATATTCACCCTGGTGAGTTTCTAAATTTGAGGCGAGAGTATTAGATTGAAGCTTGCGTGTGTCCTAGGGTAAGAGATCACCGAAAATCATGGTATATGAGTTTCCATGAATTTTACGGGTGTTTATTGTAGTGTTTGTCCTTCAACCTCACAGACAGGATGTGGTACGCGCGGGTGGGTCAATGCTGTTTTAGGCGCCAGGATTACTGTACGCGCACGTCGATTTTGTGTGTGTGTGTGATATTAGATTCGTGATCAGCTTTGATGTGTTCAACGGAGTTATTTGTTTTGACGATCTGAAGAATTGACATTAGGGATCCCGCAATGAGGCCGCTGTTGCAATATTGGGCAGCCAGCGCCTGCAACAGTGCAACCCCAACGCGAGGAGAGGTGTTTGTTGCTTGAAGATTTTACAGACCAGGAAAGGGCATTTGGTCAGATCTGGACCAAGTGGAATGGGAAGTGTTACATATACGCCTACACGCTCTTTGAACGAAGCTCACCATGTAGTGTGTTTAAACGCTTTTTTTGAAAGAAATACGAAGCAGAAAGTTCAGCGGACATGTGATCCAGCCACTGTCCCTGCACTTTCTGGCTGCGAATTATTTGAGCTGGATCGACCCTGTGGCGAGCTCACTCTTTTGCAGCTCTCAGCAACATAGGCAAGATTCGTGACATCGATATTCCAACAGCTTGCGCATAGCTTCCTGTACAAAGAATTTAAAGGCAGTTAATAGCGCTCCTGACCATATAAAGCGCTTGTAGCGCAGGCGCCAGGCATTTTTGTTTCGAACAAGTATGATATTCGTAATCAGGGAGTCAGACTCTCCCTTTGGGCAAACTTCTAGCGAAATTCTGAAATTTTGACCTAACCTCGAAAATTTGGGCAGTCACTTACTCACTTATCCATCAGTCCATTCTTCACGCTCTCCACGCCGCTCGTTTCCTCCTGCTCAGCTCTGGAGCTAGATCGTTCATCATATTGATTTCCCGACCTAGGTACACGTAGCTGGAGCATTCGGTGATGTTCGTTCCGTTGAGCGTGAAAATGACATTAGTAACTGACCAATTTCTAAAACATTTTCTTCGCCAAAGGCGAATTTCACGATGAATTGGTAGCGCGCTGTCAGATGATCTATGTCCAGCTGCTGAGGGGTGCGACAGTGAACACTAAATAGCGGGCATTCAACTTCCCATGGAACTTTGAATTGAGACCCAGATATATCGATAGCTTCAAACGCTGATTACAAATATGGAAACTAAAACTGCAAAATGAACCTGCCAAGGAAGTTGTGAGCAGTCAAAGTTGGCTGAAGTAAAGCATTACATATGAACCGTGCTAGCTTCCGGGCTTTCAGAGTTGCCGTGGAGTAGTGGTAGTGCTCTCGCTCTCCAGCCGGGAGGTCGTGCGTTCTCTTCCTTTGTGCAACTTTTGAGAGCACTACCACTACTCCATGGCGACTTTGAATGCCCGGACGGTACCACGGTTCATATGAAACGCTTTACTTCCAGCCAACTTTTTGACTGCTCACAACTTCCTTGGCAGGTTCATTTTGCAGTTTTAGTTTCCATATTTGTAATCAGCGTTTGAAGCTCTATCGATATATCTGGGTCTCATTCAAAGTTCCATGGGAAGTTGAATGCCTTTCCTGGTAAAGGACAGTTCTCTTTTGATTTCCGCGTTAGTCGAGTCTCACTGACCTCATCAACGCTAACGCTCTCTTTTCCTCTCTCTGCTAGAAGCCAGAGTCAGACGGTGAGG